GGGGCGGGGCTGGGCTAGGCAAGGCCGCAGGCAGTCAGTGCACTTGTAGTGCACCAGGGCGGTTCTGCCCACCCGCAAGCACCAGGACAGCGGAGGGCAGCACCGGCCACGGTCTCCAGGCCCTGGCCATCCCGCTCATGACGCTTCCACACATTTCTCTGTTTTGTGGTACGCAGGGCCGCATTTATGGCAGGAACTCAGCCTCGAGTGCCCTCTGCCCGGTTCACTGGGCAGGGCCACAGGTGACGCCTCGCTGGCCCCACCCCTCCCCCAGCGCCCCTCGCCCAGGCAGCCCCGCCCACCGCGCCTGCCCCCTCTGCCCTTGGTGCTCTGCCCACCTGCCCGCGGCTCCCTTCCCTTGCAGGCTGGCAGGTGCACGGCCAGCTCACCCCCACTGAGCAGCATAAATGCAGACAGGACTCTTTCCTGAGCAAGAACTTGCTTTGACAGATGAATAGAGCTTAACTTGGCCGACAGTGATACAAAAATCAGCCCTTTCGCGGCAATGCTGCTCTCGGAGGGCTTTCCTGGCAGGGGTGGTTAATTCTGCAGAGCTGGGGTCCTTAGCCCCTTGTGGGGCATGGGTGGGGTGCTGGCGGAGGCTGAGCTTGGGCACCGCGGTGGGTGGGCTCAGGCACCCCGGAGCCTGGGTCCCGCCTGTGAGGAGCCTCAAGTCGAGGCTGGTGGGAAACAACTGAGAAGCAGGTGTGCCCGGTGAAGGCTCCCAGGGGCGGGGGGACATTTGGGAAGGGTTTTCAGGTGTCAATAGGAGTTTGCTAGAAGAATGAGAGGAAGGGCGTGCTGGACTAAGGACGTGTCAGTTCCAAAGGAAGGAAGGGATTCTCCCTGCTCGCCCCCTGGCTGTTGCTGGGTGTCCAACCCCCCCCCCCCCAGAAGCCAGAGGGAAGGCTCATCAGATCGTCATTGTTTGGAAACTAGTGCTTAGTGGGGGTCCCCCTGCAGGACCCCACATTCAGGGGACCTAGAACGGAGAGGCCAAGTCCAGCTCCGGGCCTTTTCCTGATACAAGTGCCTGCTTCAAATCTACCTAGGTCACCCTAGAAATAACAAATATATATTACCCTTTATAAATAACATAAATATATATAAATAAAACGAGAACAACTCCAGAGAGAAACGAGGCCCCGCCCAGAAAGGAGATGCTGGGACCGAGGCTGCTGCCCGCCCGCACGGTGCCTGCCAGGCCTGTACTTTCTCGCCCTTTTCCAGCCACCTGCCCGCGCGCGTCAGGGCACGGCAGTGCCACGAGGCTGCGGGCGACCCGGGGGGAGGGCCCGCACCAGCCCCCCGGCCCCCGCGGGCAGGCAGAGCACTCACGGGCTGGCAGTGGGTGGGCTTCCCGTTCATGTCCGTGCTGGGGGGGCGCAGATGTGCCCAGTCGCGGCCCTTGTTGTAGGTGATGAGGGTCACCACCTTCCCGTCAACTTTCTGATTCGCCAGGAAGACGCCTTTCACCCCTCGGACCTGGGACGAGACACGGGGGGCTGGCGAGAGCCCGCTGGAGCCCCCGCAGGTAGCGGGGACCCCCGAGGGCTCTGCCCCACGCCTCACCCCCGGCGGCCGGGAGGCTGCCTGCGTGCCCTCTGCAGGTGCGGGGCCGA